ACAGACCGAATTAGGTAGGACCCATGTCTTTATCCTGTTTAGTTTCCCAGGGATTTCCCTCCTGAAGAAAAGTCTGTGTTTCCTTTACTGTGTTGTTACTTTTCCTTCATTATATTCTCCTGATGCTGTTTACTTTCTTTTATCCTTTTGCTAAATAAAGCTTAAACTAAAAAAAAAATCCATTTCAAGTTATTCAGAAATGTACTCATAAAAAAGAACACTTGATTTCCTATGGCATAAATAAGACTCCTACAGTGTATATGGAATTGAATCATAGGCCTGTGTGAAGCAGCAAGTCATCTAGTCTTGCTAACAATAAACAGAGCCCCAGTATATAGGATGTAAAAGGAATCGAGACAGTTCTTGTGTCTTGGGAAGTCTTGGTCCTTCAAGGAAAATTTCAGTGAAACGTTACAGCTCTTATCATGACTCAGAGCTGTCATAAAAGTGTTTTACTGTAACAAAAATGAAATAACACTTTATTCAGTTATTGACTCTATACTACATGCAAAAGAACTATCACTTAGTATAAAAATATAAGAATAATTTAAAATATTTGTGATATGAGGAGATGAAAACATAAGAGACAATAAGAATTTTTTAAAGTATCTGAATGAAGCGTATCTGTCATATACATGTGGGTTCTCCCAGTAGCCCAGGTGGTAAAGAATCTGCCTGCAATGCAGGAGACGTGGGATGGATCCCTGGGTCAGGAAGATCCCCTGGAGGAGGAAATGGCAACCCACTCCATATTCTTGCCTGGAGGATCCCATGGACAGAGGAGCCTGGCGGGCTCCGGTCCACGGGTTCACAAAGTCAGACACGACTGAGTGACTAACACTACTACTTCTATCATATACATGTGACACAATTAGTGGGCAAAAGCTGACTAACTTGTGGTAATAAAATACCAGCTCTATCTTATTAAGATTACAGAGGATTTTAAGAGTTATTAATTTAATCATTTAAATTTAATTAATTAAATATTAAATAAGATAATGTTTCAAAGGGTTCACTGCATCAGAAATACTTCCTGGAGCCTGTGTCAGGACTCAAATGTAGTGACATAGATGAACCGATGGAGGAAAGAAAGTTCTCTGAATGGAAAAGAATATTTTTTCTTTTATTAAAATATATTTATTTCTTTACTATATTGTTGCATATTAAAACCATGGATTAAGCAACATACACTCTCTCTTGCCCTACTTAATCTGTTTTCCAAATGGAAGCCATAATAATCCCTGTAGAAAGAAAGTCAGATGAAAAGTAAATCAGATGCTGCATCTGCCCCACTTGAAATGTCCCTCCAAAACAAACAGCTATATAGACACTACTGAGGACATAATGTCTGTTTGGTGGACTTATGTAAGAAATTATTAGCAGTCATACTCAGGTGCAGAAACAAGGACCAGGGTNCATATGGCAGTTCTATTTCCAGTGTTTTAAGAAATCGCCACACTGTTCTCCATAGTGGCTGTACTAGTTTGCATTCCCACCAACAGTGTAAGAGGGTTTCCTTTTCTCCACACCCTCTCCAGCATTTATTGCTTGTAGACTTTTGGATAGCAGCCATCCTGACTGGCGTGTAATGGTACCTCATTATTTACATTTTTAAAGAAGATTCAACTCAACCCTTTTTCAGAGGGCACCTACTGTGTGTTCTTGGTACATTTCTTGATGACTGTGATCTGACAACAGTGAAAGTAAGGCATGATTCCCTTCCCCTAGGAGCCCACAGCCCACACTGATAGTCTTGGCAGTCGCATGCATGTTACTCTGGAGTGAGATGAAATTGAACCCATGTTACAGGATTAGAGGCAGGGGCCAAAACCCAGTATGCTATTTCCTTCTCCACAAGATCTTCCCAACCCAGGAATCAAACCTGGGTCTCCTGCACTGCGGACAGGCTCTGTACCATCTGAGCCACTGGGGAATCTTAAGTCTGGAGGGGTAGCTGAGAGACAGAAAAGGCAAGTCCCATAATTTAGGTGCTATATGGCAAAAGTGAGCATATTTGGTGGCCAAATAAGAAGGAATAACAAAAAAAATTCCATCAGAGCAATTCCTTTTTCATTATTTATTAAACGTATAAGCTAATCATTTTTTACGCACTTATTCAGTCATTCAAAACCTAATTTTAAGTATTTTTCCATGTGGCATACCCATAGGATCTATTTTTCACTAGTTATCTTGCATAAATACATTTGTTTAGAACTATTATCTTTGGAATTTGTCTAATTCATAGTATTCCTTTTATAGTTAGGAAAAAGATAAAGCTGATTGAAGAGATAGACCCTATTTTGTACTTCTTATACAACAACACGACTGAGCGACTGAACTGAACTGATACGAATTAAAATAATAAAGCACTACTTTTAAATTTTTTCATAGCATTAGAAAAATTTATAATTTAGAATACAGTATAAATTTGTCATGCTTACTCTGAGGATAGATGTGAATTTTTCAGAAAGACAGTTTGAGTCTACTTTCTAGAGTTATTTGAAAGTAAAAGAAGAAAAAGAAAACCTTTTACAGTTTCTGAAAATATACTGTCATGGCATATTTTTCATGTAATTTTAAAATAGTAGCTCATTAATACATTTTGACCTGATCTACAAGAAGATAATTTTATCCTCACAAAGGCTAAGGTTTATATGACTTTAAGCTATGGCAATATTTACTGTTCAATTTCTGACTTTATATATGAGAACATTTGATAATGTCTAACATGTTAGGGTCCCATCACTTCACAGCAAATAGATGAGGAAACAATGGAAACAGTGAGAGACTTTATTTTTTGGGGGGACTCCAAAATCACTGCAGATGGTTACTGCAGCCATGAAATTAAAAGATGGTTGTTCCTTGGAAGAAAAGCTATGACCAGCCTAGACAGCATATTAAAAAGCAGAAACATTACTTTGCCAACAAAGGTCCATCTAGTCAAAGCTATGGTTTTTCCAGTGGTCATGTATGGATGTGAGAGTTGGATCATAAAGAAGGCTGAGCACTGAAGAATTGATTCTTTTAAACTGTGGTGTTGGAGAAGACTCTTGAGAGTCCCTTGGGCTGCAAAGAGATCCAACCAGTCCATCCTAAAGGAGGTCAGTCCTGAATATTCATTGGAAGAACTGATGCTGAAGCTGAAACTCCAGTATTTTGGCCACCTGATGCAAAGAGCTGACTCATTTGAAAAGACCCTGATGCTGGGAAAGATTGAAGGAGGGAAGAGAAGGGGACGACAGAGGGTGAGATAGTTGGATGGCATCACCGACAGTGGACATGAGTTTGAGTAAACTCTGGGAGTTGGTAATGGACAGGGAGGCCTGGTGTGCTGCAGTCCATGGGGTCACAAAGAGTCGGACACAACTGAGTGACTGAACTGACTGAACATGCTAGGGAAAGACTTCTGTTTCTAGCCATGAGAGAGTAAAAAAGTTCAGACAACATTCTGCTGTAAACAATCAGAAAACTTGACGCAATATATGAAATAACTGTGTTCAGACATTGGAAAACAGTGTATGACCTTCCTTTCAAAGAAGTGAAAGGAAACAGAGAAGCGAACCCTAAAATCATTCAGGCATTCTGTCTGGAGACAATTTCCTGATTGTTATTTAGTGAGAAAGAACACAAACAGAGTTTAGCGATCTTGATAATTTAAGAAGACAGAAACCAAGGTTTAGGAGAGCCAAGGCAGATAGAATCTGTAGTGCAGAGAAAGGAAGAGAATGAATCGATGCAGAAAAAGAGTTTCAGCAGTTGGCGTATGAGTTCCCATCAGTATTTGACTCTGTCTGCGTATGTATGAACTAAAAGTGTTAGTCACTCTGTTGTATCTGATTCTTTGTGACCCACTGGACTGTACCTCGCCAGGGTCCTCTGTCCATGGAATTCCCCAGGCAAGAATACTGGAGTGGGAAGTCATTCCCTTCTCCAGGGAATCTTCCCCACCCAGGGATTGAACCCTGGTCTCCTGCATTGCAGGAGGACTCTTTACCACGTGAGCCACCAGGAAAGTCCCCTGCATGAGTGTAGTACAATTCAGAAAGCCCAAGGAAATAAAAATTACTGGGATGCTGGATTCCGAGAGGCCCCACAAGGCCAAGAATTTTCCCAGTTTCCATAAATCAGAGTAGAGATCCCTTGCTGAATACACAGAGCTAAGCAGAGAGCCCAGCAAGGTCACACTTTATAATAAGGGTAAACTATTCCTGGATTAGAGAATATTCTAGACTTGCCCTAAAAGATGAAAAACAAGGCTCAAACTGAGCCACAGGTGACCAGGCTACCTGCCAGAACAAAGGCCAATACTTCAAGAAAAAAATCCAGCACTCTATACCTTATGTACAGTATCTGGTTAAAAAATGTTAGACTTGTGACAAAGTGAGAAAAGGTGACATATAACCAGAAAGAAAATCAAGTGATAGAAATAGTCCTAGATATTATATTGATGATGGAATTAATAGTCAAATTAAAATGCCTACTATAAATACATACAAAAGGGTTTAAAAGAAAATATGCATATCAAGAGATGATGCATGGAGATGTACTTTAAATGATGGAAAACAAAGAGTATTAGAAATGATATTTTAAACAATAGGATTAGCAACATATTAGAAATTATGGTAGTAAAGATCAGGGAGCTTACAACATAACGGTATAAAAAAGAGAAATGTACTTTTACTTTTCTGAGAACTATTAATGCATATTAATATATATATATATAATGATAGCATTCAACTGTTTAATTCCCTTTATAAAAGAAATGATTATTGAAAAGTCTCCAAATCCAACATGGAGTGAACTGAAATTCACATCTGAACTCTAATGCAATGAGGTATACTTCAATCCATGTATTTGAGGTTCCTCAATATGTATGATTTTTTTGGAAAGTTAGTCTTCAAAAGAAAAAGTTACAGTATGAAAACAAGTCCTTATCTGAAAAAAGAAAGGCTTTCTGGAGAAACTAAATTTAAGGCATATGAAATATCCCTGTGTTATAGGTCATACGGAAAGGGGAAGTCAGTTGCTGCTGGATTTGCACTGCCTGCAAAGAGAATGAGTATGTGCAAGATGAATTCACCTGCAAAGCTTGTGACTTGGGATGGTGGCCCAATGCAGATCTGACAGGTAGGAACTGTCTCACTTGTCAACCTTATCCTGAACATTGGCCTCTGCAATGTGCCTGTTGTTTAAAATGTGAGTGAGTAACTCACGCCTTTTTCAACATTTATTTACATTGTTACTGCTCATGTCAAAGGTACACTTAAAGTTCTTAAAAGTTTTCCATCATCCATATTGAAAGTTTATTTAAATATAAATAAAAGGGTATTCAAAGGGTATTCTTGTATACCAGTTGTTCCTGTTTTTCTTTTTGTAATTTTTACCTGAAGATAAATCAGGGAAGAAACATGTAAAAATATAAAACAAAGTAATTTTAACAGTGTGATTAGTCACTCAGTCATGACCAACTCTTTGCATCCCCATGGACTATAGCTCCCACGCCCCTCTGTCCATGGGATTCTCCAGGCCAGAATACTGGAGAGGATTGCCATTTCTTCCTCCAGTGGATCTTCACAACCCAGGGATCGAACCTGAGTCCCCAGCGTCTCTTGCATTAGCAGGCAGATTCTTTACCACTGAGACACCTGGGAAGCCTCTATTTTAATAAATGTTTCCCATGCTCTACTCTCTATCTGGAATTTCTTTTATTTCCTTGTCTGCCTGACAAATTTTACAGTAGTTATAAAGTTTGTTAGGCAGACACAGAGATTAAAAAAAAAAATTCCAGATAGAAAGTAGAACATGGGAAACTTGAAAGCATGTAGTACATTGGGGGAAAACCATGGACAAGTATATGGGGTTGTTTGGTAAATACAAGGGGCGGGTAGGGATGTGGTCAGAAATGAGATTGGATGAGGACACTGGAAGCAAATGGTAAGGAACTTCTATAAGAACTTATTCTAAATGTTTGGATTTTGGCTTTAAGCCTAGGAAAACCACAGAGGCACTTAAAGTGGTGAATAATGTCATGATATTGGTGTCTCAGAAAGATAACCATGGTGACAGTATGGACAAGGATAGGGAGCCTAAACTGAAAACAGAAGTGAGGAAGCTACTGTGTTGGTCCAAATGAGTAATTCTAAAGGGTGTGAACAGAGCAGCTGCATGGAAGTCAGTTCAGTTCAGTCGCTCAGTCGTGTCCGACTCTTTGCGACCCCATGGATCGCAGCACTCCAGGTCTCCCTGTCCATCACCAACTCCCAGAGTTTACTCAAACTCATGCCCATCGAGTCGGTGATGTCATCCAGCCATCTCATCCTCTGTCATCCCCTTCTCCTCCAGCCCCCAATCCCTCCCAGCATCAGGGTCTTTTCCAGTGAGTCAAGTCTTCACATGAGGTGGCCAAAGTACTGGAGTTTCAGCTTCAGCATCAGTCCCTCCAATGAACACCCAGGACTGATCTCCTTCAGGATGGACTGGTTGGATCTCCTTGCAGTCCAAGGGACTCTCAAGAGTCTTCTCCAACACCACAGTTC